ATTAGTGTAGGGAAGTGTTATGACACTCATAATTTTCTTCTCTAATACTTAAGATTTTAAAGTGAAACATGGGTGTGCTTTTTGCATCTTAACTTGAGGTCCTTGTTTATTAACTTGAGCTTGGATTGATAACAGTGTCCTTCACAGAGAATGGTGTATACCTAAACTGATTTTATTTGCAAACAGGATTTTGCCTCAGTTACTTCTGTTACGGATTTCTCAGCAGATTATATAGTTTCTGAGGATACCTACACTGCATAGATCATAAAGAATGGAGAAGATAATAGATATGCTGTAATAATCACTTAGATTTTTCTTAAGGTGTGACAGTACCACTTCTATAAGTATTTGGCCTCTCAGTCTCTGGGATGCAGATGTCATTTTTCTCATACTGTGTGCTATATATTTACTGACATGTGATGACTGTGGTTTTACATGGTAATTTTAGGTTCAGATGTACCATGCTTTTGTTTTCCAGACAGTACCCTTCTTGACAAGCTTCAAAGCTTTTCTTTCCCCTTGGCTATGGTGGTACCTGTTCTTGACTAATTGCTTCAAACAAATACCAATTGCCATAGATTCATGTGTGCTTCCCAGGACTCATCTTGTAGGAAACAGTTTGGGTTCTTTTTCCATATATATATATTAACCCGTATTTGTTCACATCAGATCTGTTAGGTTTCCCTGTTTTGCCAAAATCTTAAAAAAAAATTTCCACTTAGGCATATTGACTCAGCACTTCCTTTTTATTAATATATATATTTTATTGATTATGCTATTACAGTTGTCCCTTTTTTCTCCCCTTTATTCCCCTCCACACTGCATCACCCCTCCCCCCAGTATTCCCCCCCCACACACACACTTAGTTCATGTCCATGGGTTGTACATATACGTTCTTAGGCTTCTCCTTTTCCTATGCTATTCTTAACCTCTCCCAACCTATTTTGTACCTACTCTTTATGCTGCTTATTCCCTGTACCTTTTCCCCCATTTTTCCCCTCTCCCTCCCCTCTGCTCTCCATTTCTATGATCCTGTTCCTGTTCTAGTTGTTTGCTTAGTTTGTTTTTGTTTTTGATGTTCAGTTGTTGATAGTTGTGAATTTATTGTCATTTTACTGTTCATAGTTTTTGATCTTCTTTTTCTTAGACAAGTCCCTATAACATTTCATATAATAAGGGCTTGGTGATGATGAACTCCTTTAACTTGACCTTATCTGGGAAGCACTTTATCAGCCCGTCCATTCTAAAGGATAGCTTTGCTAGATAGAGTAATCTTGGATGTAGGTCCTCGTCTTTCATGACTTTGAATACTTCTTGCCAGCCCCTTCTTGCCTGCAAGGTTTCTTTTGAGAAATCGGCTGATAGTCTTATGGGAACTCCTTTGTAGGTAACTGTCTCCTTTTCTCTTGCTGCTTTTAAGATTCTCTCCTTATCTTTAATCTTGAGTAACTTAATTATGATGTGCCTTGGTGTGTGCTTCCTTGGATCCAACTTCTTTGGGACTCCCTGAGCTTCCCAGATCTCCTGGAAATCTAGTTCCTTCACCAGATTGGGGAAGTTCTCCTTCACTATTTTTTCAAATAACTTTTCAACTTCTTACTCTTCCTCTTCTGCTGGCACCCTTATGATTCAGATGTTGGAACGTTTAAAGTTGTCCCAGAGGTTCCGAAGGCTCTCCTCATTTTTTTGAATTCTTGTTTCTTCATTCTGTTGTGGTTGAATGTTTATCTCTTCCTTCTGTTCCAAATTGTTGATCTGAGTCCTGGTTTCCTTCCCTTTACTGTTGGTTCCCTGTATATTTTTCTTTATTTCACTTTGCATATCCTTCACTTTTTCCTCCATATTGCGACCATACTCAACCAACTCAGTTGGTTACCATTACCATTACTGATTACCATTGTTTTGAGCTGTGCATCAATAGGTTGGCTATTTGTTCATTGCTTAGTTCTTTTTTTGGAGCTTTGATCTGTCCTTTCATTGGGGCCATATTTCTTTGTCTCAGTGTACCTGTTACATTGGGAGGGGTAGAGCCATAGGTATTCACCAGGGAGGGGTAACCGAGGTCACTGCATTGTGTCGCTGTGTGGGGGGGAGGGGTCTGAAAGGGAACAATGCCACTTGCTTGGCTCTCAGCTGGCTTTCAGTCACTTCCCCCACTACCCACAAGCGAACTGGGCCCTTCTGGTGCTGATTCCCAAGTAGGTGGGTTTGTGTACGTTCTGGGACCCCGTTGGCCTCTCCAAGGGACTCTTCTGTGCGGCCGGGAGTTTCTCTTGCCACCAAAACCCCCACAGGTTTTTACCTCCAGAGGTTTTCAGGCTTTCTTTTCCCGCACTGGAACCCTAGATTGCACAGTCTCTCTCACTCCCCAGCTGCTATTTGCACACAAATGTGGGACCACCTGGTCTACCAGCTGCTACCTCTCCCACCCAGCCCTCCAGCCACCGCCTTGCCACACATCTTCTCCACCCCAGCTGCCCGTCTCTGCCCCTCCTACCAGTCTGGATGGGTGTTTCTTCTTTAGCTCCTTGGTTGTTGGATTTCCATGCAGTTCAATTTTCTGGCCATTCTAGTAATTTTTTGTTTTTAAATTATTTGTTGTCCGTTCGGTTGTGGGAGGAGACAAAGTGTATCCACCTACACCTCCATCTTGGCCAGAAATCCCCTGACTCAGCATTTTCAACAGAAAGAAATATTGTCTGAGAAGCGAATCATTTGTCTATGAAATAACTGCCTCACCTAGGGATACAATTTAAATGGAATGTGGGGTGAAATTGTAGGAAAAATCTTAACAAGCCAAATAACTTCTCCACAGAAAACGTTGCATTGCCCCCATTAAGTTACATTTGCCCCAAGGGTCCAAAACTTCATAATGGATTTCCCAGATCATCCAGTATAGAAGGAGGCTCCGGTTTACTCTTATGAATAGAAAGCACATTGTCCACTTGCCAGTTTACTTAGACATAGTTAGGAATTTTCAAATATACTGAAAAGTCTGCGTATTTGTTCTTAAGAGATCCTTTTTTATTTTCAGAATTATGAATGGCTACTCTGTGTCCTCTTTAAAGGCAAAGGGAAGATATGATGAACTGATTATCTCTGTTTGTGATTATAGCAGATATAAAACAATACACAAAATGTCCACTTGAATTTAAAGGCTATAACTTGTAGAATATAACACTGCTCCTCCATATTTTTATACTTCTGTTTGTGGAAAGGTTCATGATAGCATCCATGATAAAATCTTAAGCAACAAAGTATTTAATCTATCTAAGATGTTTTGTACATAGTGCTAAGCATTGTGGGGAGTTCAGAGAAAAATGATATGATCCCTATCCTCAGGAAGCTTTAATAAAGGTATCTTTTATTTTCTAAAACACAGTGTGTTAGAATTAGGGCTGTGTGTATATCCAAACATGAACACTCATTGGGATATTTATGATATAAATGCCGATAATTAAAGTGTTGAGGCAGTGTGTTATAAGTGTGAAGGAGTTAAGAGATCTGAAGTGATTTATCTCTATTCCAGTGATGAGAGACTGTTTAAGATTAAAATGGCATTTGAGTAGGGTTTTGAAAGGGTTGATAGGATTTCAGGAGGAGTCTAATAAAGAAGCAGCTTGATGTAGTAAAAAAAAAAATTTCAAATATCCTGGTTTTACATCAGCCATTCACTTACTAAATATAAAGGGATTCAGCCAGATTACTTAATTCCTCTGATCATCAGTTTCCTCAAATATAAAATAGGAATTAGAGGGGGGCTTTAAAGGGGTGGGAGGACAGAGCAAAAAAGGAAAAAAGAGAGAAAAGAACTCATGGACAGGGACAACATTGTGGTGATTGCAGGGTGAGGGTGATGGGTAGAGGTGGAAGATGGTATGGGGATAAATAGTAATGGAAAAATACAATAAAAATGTATAATAAAAATAGGAATTAGAGTAATAGTTATCATAGAAGAGTTTTTAGGAAGATTAAGTGAGATGCTGTAATAGGAACATGGTTTGTAAACTGTGAAGGGCTGTACATGTTAGTAAATTTTATAGTAAATATTGAGGATGACATGAGCCAAAGGCATGGAATTTGAAAACCAGTAAACCATATCACCTAGTGCAGAAAATTTGTGAAAGTGACCGAGTACTGATTCACCCATACACTTTTTTACTTGGGAGAATAATTAAATAGAAAAGCCTGTCATGATTTATTTTGCCCTTTCACTCAAAAGATCATTTCAAAGGTGTTTCAGATCTTCAGCTGAAGCTTGTATGAGTTGAATATTTTTTTATTAAATTTATATAAACATGCAGAATCAATTCTCAAGTAAACTGCTTTAATAGAGATTATAACATTGCACAAAGTTAGCTAAAGTATCTTGCAAAGTGTGTGTGTGTGTGTGTGTGTGTGTGTGTGTGTGTGTGTGTGTGTTTAGAACATTGTCTCATAAGAGTGCTTGGTTTCAAGAACGAGTCTATATTCTTGGGTTGATCTGAATTACTCCATTGAATGAAAGAACAGGGTATTATTTAAGCTACTTCTGGGAACCATCGTATTTCATGTTACAGGTGCTTCGTTTAATAACTACATAAAAATGATTTTTTGAAAGAAAGTTAACCCTTATCTCATAGGGTCTCAGAGAATTGATTCATATTCTTTGTTTTACATAAATTTTAATTTTTAAATGTGGTTAGAAATATTCAATATTCAGTAAATTTTTCAAGAAAAGAACAGCAAGAGTGCTTGGGCATAAAAAGTATTTTCAGTGGTACTGTGACTATTATGCCACTTGCCATTGTCTGGTCTTGGACTCTTTTTTTTTTTTTTTTGGACTCTAGAGAAATATGATTGGAATTACTTTTCTCAAGGCAAGGAACTTGGAAAACAGCATGTTGTTTAAATACTAACCTTTAGTCACTATAAAAGCTTTCTGAGAAAAAAAAATCTGAATCCTAATAGTGGGGTCATTTTATTTTGGTAAATATTCTAAATTCTCTCTTCTTTTACAGACTATCTTGCTAATCATGGCCGTTTAAATGAGTCTGAGGCCAGGCGCAAATTCTGGCAGATCCTGTCTGCTGTTGATTATTGTCATGGTCGGAAGATTGTGCACCGCGACCTCAAGGCTGAAAATCTCCTGCTGGATAACAACATGAATATCAAAATAGCAGGTAACTGGGACACAGCTGGCTCTAACATGATCAATTGTGAGCCATTGTGCTGGGTTTTTGCAGAAACGGAACTACAGGCCAAGATTGGGGAGCATTTCTACTGAAGACATCAAGCTTTCTCAAAAAACAAGGATTTATTCATTTCCTTAGATCTGTGTGCAATGTAAGGGAAATCAGTTCGTTATTAATGTACACAATGGCAGAGCTACAGCTGGTGTCTCATTTGTATCTTTGGTCTGATTTGTGTCCAGGTTGGTTTGGGGGGCTCTGCTGGAGGAGAGGGACTGGTCAGTCTAGAGCAACAGTGCAGGTTGCTGGCACTGTACCCTGCTCCTAATTGTGGCTCATGACTGCAGTGAGGTTACAGACAGGAAAAGAAAAAGGAGGAATGTAGACTGACACCGGAGGAGCAGGTAGGCAAAGATCAGAGTATGAAGGGTCTCGAATGTCATGAAAGAGACTTTGGAGTTTATTCTACAGGTCATAGGGAGTCTAATTTATTGAAAATTTTAGGGTGGGGACAGGGGTGAAGTGGAGCTGGGATGACAATGAGATTTATGTATTAGAAAGATGTCTCTCACTGGCAGCAAAGACATGTGGGAGATGGGGATAAGACTAAAGACAGGAAGATTAATAAAGAATCTAATGCAGTAGTCCAATTAAGAAAACGCAGATCTGAACTAGGGCAGCAGCAGTAGTGGCTATAGGGGTTGGACAGAGAGTGGTTTATTTTGGTTAGAGTTTTGAAGAAGGTAGAGGGAATGAAACAAAAGTTTAGAAAAACTGCAGATGCTGGTGTTTTGTTTTAGGATTACAAAAGAGGAACAGAGAGACATCCAGAAGAGAGGAGCTAACCAGGAAATTATACTAGTTAGTATACTAGTTGACCAGCTAGGTTGGATATTCTTTGGAGAAAGTATAGGGAGAAGACAACTCTTTGAAGTATAAAATGTAAGTTAAAAGCCTCTGGGGGCGGGTGGGGGTGGGGTGGAGAAGGCCTCTGATTTGTTCATTTAACTGGTCTATTTCTGCGCCATTTCCCATTAGTTTCTGTCCTGAGTGTTAAGAGGAAGGTAAATAATTAATATTTACTTACTTTACCTTAACTTTTATTTACTTTAATTTTAATAATTAATTTCAAATGCCAATGTTACATATGTTACAGTGAGATAATAGATTTTCCATTCTGTAGTCTGATTTTTTTTTAATAATGGGATTGACTGAATAAGACAAAGTGTTTAATAAGACACAGCTAACTTGTTATATTCCCATTTATATAGAGAGAGATTTATATTGATTTGTCATTTTTGTTTTGAAAATGCAATCCACTGTATTAGTTTCCATAGTTTCTTATGTGTTCACTTCTCCCATTTGTGGCTTTTTTTTCCCTTCTTCTTTTGGCCTTTCCATTTAGTTTCATTCATTTCACTCCTTTTTGCCAACCTTTTGTAATGCATGTTACTGGAATTTTTGTTTACTTCTCTTTGGAAACATCTGCTGCCCTAAGATTGCCCTCTTCAGAAAACTCTCTTGTTTTCTGAAGTCCTTAACTCTGTAGAAAGAAGGGGAACCTCTGTCACCTTTGCATTCATTTATCACCAAAACAAAAAATGCACAAAACAATACCTCAGAGGAGTTTCGGAAGTGTTTTCAGACAGAGAAAGGTTAGTGGTGTGAGTCATATGCTTTAAGAATTACAAAGTGCAATGTCACTAACTTCTCAAAAGAAAATGTCCTAGTAGAACCAAAGAAACTTGGAAACAAAACATACTCAGTTTTGCCTGTCTACATAATATGTCTACTATAATATGGGTAGGTAAACCCAATATTTCTAATGTCATTATGAGATGGCTAGGTCTTTCTTTGTTTTTACATTTTTTTATTTTTGTTTTTGAATATCTAAACTTCAACTACTCATTTTTATCTAGAAGACAGGTAAAATGTCCGAGGCCTAAAGTTGTTCTCTCTGGTTAAGCTACTATAACAATTAACATTTATTGAGCCTTCACCATTTTCAGGTGCCCTGCAAGGTACCATTGTACCATTTAATCTTTGCAGCAACCCTAGAAGCTGCATAACTCTTCCTGGCTTTTAGGTGGGAAAGCTGAAATACAAAAAGATTAAATAACTTACTGAGGTGTGACTCAGATAATAAGTAGCAGACCTGGAATTCAAACCTAGGTGTCTCTGACCCGTGTCTGTGTTTCTTCCACTACATCATGTTGTCAATTCCAAGCATTATTGTCAGTTATCCCTCAGGGCATATTCACTAACCGAATTTTGGGTTCCATCATTCTATATTTATACATTTAGTGTCTTTGATTTTATACCTCACAAGTATAGACACACACACACCCAGTGTATCTAAGCACTCAAATACTTCCTTACCCACATTTTTTTTTTCTGTCATCCTCACCAACATTTAACCAAATTTCAGTAAATGTTTATTAAGCATCTACTGCACTTCTGAGCTAAGTCCTGGAGATGCAAATATTTCAAGACAAAACAACAGCAGTGCAAAAACGCTTAACTCTGCTCTCACCTCAGAACAAGAATTAATCCAGAACAAGACCTTCAAGTAAATATAACACAGAAAGGTGATTGTTGTAAAGGCTAGGAGAAAGACTGACTGCCTGGAAGAAATTATTAGCTAAGAATTGCTTAAGAAGAAGACATTGGTGTGATAGGGTGAGAGTGGACTGAGGGGGTGAGGTACAGAGGGCAGCTCCAAGCAGATGTGCAAAGGCAGGAGGCCAGAAAACTCAGTATGTAGGGAAACTATAGAGCAGAGCTGGTGAGACATAGATGCCAGTGAGGAACGACAGGAAGAGAGCCTGCACAGGCAGGCAGAGCCAGGTCAGGGGGTGTTCTGTGTGCCATCAAAAGCTTATGTGTGTGCCCGTGCTGTTAAAGAATTTCTTTGGTATATTATTTTTATCCATGGATTTTATAACTTTTTTATAGCCCTGCTTTCCTTTAAAAACATCATCTTCTGATTTCAGAGGGTTTTTCTTGAATTCTAAGAAATCTAAACACAACTAGGAAACATGGGGCTATATGGAAAACTTGCAAGGACCAGAATAAAATATAAAATGATCCCCTAAATTATACTGTCTCTATTCATTCTACTTATGAAGATCTTTTAATTGATAAATGGGCTGGATAAGTCAACATTTTAGCCATCTTAAATGTTGAAATTGAAGAGAAGTGCAAACCAGAACTCAGTTTAAATTAAAATGTCTCTATTTAGAAAACAGAAAATGACCATTCATTTTAATAAGTACAGAAACATGGCTTCAAAATCAGCGTCTAACTTGTACTCCCCCAGTGGGTAAAGATGTCAGACACCAATGAGCCATGCACTCATCAACACCCGTGTAGGCTCATACCTCAATTATGAGACCTCCAGCCTTTGCAAAATACAAAAGGACCTCCAGAGTAAGAGGCAGAATGCGAAGAAATACCGGCTTTCATTAGTATTAGTAATTGCAGCGCTGTTTCCTCCTAGCTATTTTTGCTATGATTATTTAGGCATAAAATTAAGAATAAACAGGTAAAGCACATATAATTTTATTCTCTAACTTTCCTAATTTGAAATGCTTACAATAAATTTGTGGGTAAGGATAAAAACGTACGAAATATTCAGAGGAAGTTTTCACAAATATCACAGTTCAAACAGGGCTTCCCACAAAGAATGTGGAGTTTGATATCAGACAGTACAGGAGCAAATTCTGGCTATGTGACCTTGGGCTAACTACTCAACCTCACTGAGCCTAGGTTTCCATATCTATTAAGCATATCTATTTGGAACATTTTAGGGATTAGTGATAGTGTTAGAGACTGAGGGTAGTAGGTGAGAGTATGGGCTGTAAAGCCAGGCCATCTGGGTTTGAATCCTGGTTCTGGCACTTGCTAGCTGCATGACCTTGGATACATTACCTAACCTCTCTGTCCTCAGTTTCCTTATCTGTAAGGAGGGAATGATAGAAGTTCATATCTCATATTGGTTACTGGTTAATATTTGTAAAATACTTGGAACAGTGCCTGGTACATAGTATAAGTGTTTGTTAAATAATTTGTTACTGGAACCGTGTAACACTCAATTAAAGTAGCTGTTATTTGTATTCAATGTATAATTGATTCCATGTGAAAACAAATCCTGAAATTTTTGATAGCCCCCTCACCATGGTTTTGTTTTTTTTTAAATTATCAAGTCCTTAAAGTCTTGTTAATGTAAATCCCAGAGGAATGAGGGGGAGTTTATCATTTATATTCTAAATTATCTCTGCTTGATGCAAATTAATCCCCCCCCCCAGGAATCTTTAGTGTAATTAGTAATGTTTAATGAGTCTCATTAATCTGACCTGTGCATCACAAGTCCCTTGTCTTTAGCCAAAGACCACTGCCTCCTTTCTGAGGTGACCCATGATCTCTGAGTGGCCCACCATCTCCCAGTATTGCTTCTAACAATTTCCCTGCTCACTAGAAGACCATGAGACAGGGTTTCTGTGTATAAATTCCAGTTTTGTACACTGGAACAAAAAGGAGTCGGGGAGCCTGAGACAGAGTTCATTGGTAAAATATTTATTAGAAGCCTTCCGTTTGTTATCCTCTTGCCACTCTTACTAGGTAAAATGTAATGAAACAGCTTTCCCTCAGCAAGCACAATGAAACCTTGCCTTTATTCTTCCAGCCTGCATAGCCTTAGCAGCACTAGGCTAAGCAGCAACATTAAGCCTAGACTACGGAAGAGAGCTCACAGGGTTTTGTTTCATTTTGTTTTGTTACCCTCCTACCCTCCCATCCCCACCCAGTCTCTGCCTCCTACCTCTATTTTTGGCTAAGATAATTTATTTGCTTCTTAGCCCACTGAACTCTCTCATTGGACAAATAGATGTCTCATACTGGTCAGCAAGATCACATTTTATCTCAGCTGTGTTGTTTTTGTGCTCTTCTGTCCGGTAGCAAGGGAATGACTGATGCTTGGAAGTCAACTGTGA